GGAATTTAGAACAATTTAGTGCTCTGTACAATATTAAAGTGGTTTAATATGTATCGCTTTTGAACAGCATGGAGAAAAGGAAAATAACAAAGAAACTAAATTTAAGATGAATAGAATAGGGGGATATATTTTAAGAGTTAAGGAATGAACTAAAATGAATGTTAGGCAAATTAATCATGCGTTCAGTAGATTACTACTGATGTTATCTTTGAGTTTGAAATTCTACTATACCCATAATTATCTTGACTACATAGATACAGATATACAGTTTGAAAACTTGTACAGTCAGACAAGCGATCTAATTGTAATTTCTAACCAAGAATTGGACTAACTAAAATCATATCTTGAAGAATATCTTTACTAGTATATAAACAAATGTAATTGCAAAAGCGCTCTTACAAGAAAGCACAAGGAGCCTATTAATATGCTTTTGAAAGATGTAACAATAATGATTAAAAAATCTGAAAAGGATCAAGGGGTTGTTCTTCCTAATTAGAATGATTGCATAGACAAAGTGAATATAATCTTGGATGACAAATTAATGTATAAGTTTATTTAAGTTAATATTGCAGGTTATTTATCGCAACATTAACAATTTTATTTTATTTTGAAATTCTAAATACACGTACTTACTTACTTAGGCCTGTTACTCCACGAATCTCCGATCTTTTCTGTCATGGGCAACTCTTTCTAGTTGTTCTCAGTTGTCATACATGCTTTTAATGTTTGCTTCCGATTCTCGACACAGTATGTTGTCTAGTCTTCCTCTTTTCTCTCCCCTTCAGGATTCCAAGTTAACGCTTGCTTCTTGGTGAATTTTTATGATTTCCTCAATGTGTGTCCTATCCACATTCAGCGTCGTTTCTTAAATATACATGCTATGATCTTAAACGATCTATTTTACCTTAAACCTGGTCACTCTTTGGATTATTAATTTGGATATATAATAGTTAAACCTGAAGTGAATTTATTGAAAGGGTATTCGTGTTCTAATATGATGGGGATTTTCAAACAATTGAAAATAAACTCATCTTCATTGTTTTAATGAACTGTTAACTGATCGCAAGCACTATATGGCTGTCATACACCTTCGTGTATCATCTATATCACCAGTTAGTTGCTTCTTTAATTAATATCGAATTTTGCTCTAGTTCCATTTAGCCAAAATATCAATAAATTTATTGATCAACTATGTGTTTAGTGCACTTTCAAACTCGATAAATAAATATGTCATTCAAACTGTTTTTGATATAATCAATTTAACTATAAGCTTTTGGACTATTACTTCTTTTGCTTCTTATACCTTATATTCATGTAAATGATCAAGTAGTTGACATCCTGTCAAATCAATGTTTGTTAATATTAATAATTGTTTAACTTAGGAATTGTATATTTTATAATTCCAGCATAACATGGATCACTTCATAACCTATATGTCAGTTAATTTTACAAATTATTTTTGAATCGAAACAATGCACTTCTTATTTATTTATTTATCATCAATAACAGGTCACAAAATCTGTTCTATTCATTTCTTCTTGATATTTTATTCTAAATGAAGAAAACACATTGTATTTAAACCATTTCTAGCTGAATAAAAATAACACCGTTAGATGCCGGCTCAGTGGTCTATAGGTTAAGTGCTCGCGCGCGAGATTGGTAAGTCCTCGGTTCGAATCTCGCGAGGCGGGATCGTGGATGCGCGCTGCTGAGGAATCCTACAATAGGACGAAACGTCCATCCAGTGCTTCCAGGTTTTCCATGGTGGTCTAGCTTCAATTGACTCATGATTTCAACTATATATAAAAATATCTTTGTTGAAATGGATTTCTTTTTTAAAATATTTAGAAGAATTTTTTGAAAATAAGAAAACCTATGTTATGTTTAAATGTTATGATAATCGGAGTTCGATCATATCTATGATGACGATTACATCAATGATGATATTGACTGAGAGTTGAAGTTTTAAATACTGATCGTTGGATCCTTATTCAATTTTCTTTCATTATTATACAATGTGAGAGATCTGATGGTTCAGTGTAAGGTTGTTTGACGATTCCCAGATTAGGTTGAGAAATTTTTGTAGGGTTTACTGATTTACAGTAGTTTTCTAGATAATATACTTATGAGGATAAATTTTAGATTAAATAACCATCGCAAAATTTTCCAGCTTAGTATAATATCTTTAATGTAGTACGTTAGAAGTATTATTCACTATGACGGTAGTTGATGACATAGGGATGTCAAAACTCATTGTAATAGAAAATTGTTCCAGAGCACAACCTATTTGATGAATGTACTCAGAGAATTTAGGTGCATGATTAACATGTACTTTTTTTAAAGTATAATAGAAGTGACTGAACACTCAATGTTTATTAGCAACCTAATTCCTAGAGGTTTGGGTCAGTAAGTAACTCTGTAATTCATGTTGTGCATAAGAATTTATTCTTAATGGTGATATTAATTTTAGATTATCTGACGCCACTTGCTAAAACTCAGCTCGGTGATATTAACATCAAGAAACTTGATGGTTTCAATTCAGAAATTGAAATACATTGTGGGTTTATAATGTCGACAACCACATATCATGCATTTCGTAAACTAAGAGTTCAATATCAATAAATGATCCCTTCATTCAAGCATTTGTTTTTCTATATCTTGATTAATATAATGTGAACTAATTCAAATCTGGCTACATGGATCACTCTCATATGTAATTAAAATGGAAACCTTAATATTAACTAAGGTGTTGATATAATTGATTTTGCCTATTGTTTGATATAGTGTGGTGTATGCTACTTATGTATGTCGACATAAATAGTATGTAGCACCAATCAGAAGTAGAAAACTTTGCAACAGAAGATTTAGGAAGATCGATTTGAAGAAGACATAAAGGAAAATAGAAAGGAATTGTGAATTGTAAGAACCATATAGATTGCAAAGGACAGTTGATGGAAGTTTCGTAAATGAAGTATTTAGGGTATGGTCCTTATATTTTATGACGATAGTTTGTAATTTGGTATTAAACAGTAAATTGGTTGTCACCTCACTGAGTTTTAGTTCACAACAGTTGTAAGGGAGTTACTTTAACTATCTATCAAATACTTTGCTGGTAATGATTAGCTTCTTATTTGAAAACTTTAATTATCAGACGAATAATTCCCGAATAGTGTTTGTCACAAACACCAATTATCAACCTGATCTGTGATCTATAGGATTCTTATTGTTATTTTTATAATTCATGATAGTAAGCTGTTTCAACACATTAACATCTGTTAAAGCAAGCAGTTCGGTTAAGCAGTTCTATTAAAAAAGTAAGTGTAGTGTAATTCATTCTTCCAAGTCAACTCAACACTTATTCTGTGTCAATTTAGTAAAACAATAAGGTTTATCTACTTTTAAATCTAAAGGAAATTATGGCTAATATTAAACTTAAAGTAGAAGTTATAGCAACCATTCCTCAACTTTTTATTAGTATGACTTTTGCCAGAATACGTTTTGAAGATCAAGAAAAGCCCATTTTATTTTCATTAATTAAGAAGTTTGATTTACTGTGTGTGTTAATATGCCAGTTTGATTGAGCGCACGTCTTCATCCTATTTTTCATCTGTTCTCTAATTGGTTGTAAACACAGATCACACGACAACTTACGCATTGATTTGCACTGATTAAAAAACACACAAAATTATACACATACATTCACCCACTTCACTTACTCCCAAGTCCATTTGCTTATCTCATACTTGTGAATTTAATTAATTAACAATATACGCTTTCCTAACGCAGCTGATATTCTGGCTTCTGAATATTCTTATTTGAAATCATAATGGTACTTAAATAATAAGCTTGCTAAAAAAACACACTTAACGGGTCATCACGTTTTGAAGTTGAAATGGAGGAAGTAGCTCCTACAAACACAGTAGTTCATGCCTCAGTAAATCAATTTGAACCTCATATGCAGTGACTAAGATTGAAGATTTTGAACTACCAGAGTTTTGAACATACAAACAACTCAAGTAACAATTTCATCTTTAGAACAACATATATAAGTGAACAATATTGTTTTTGATTAGATCCTCATGAGGCTTTACTCTAATATACAGTAATATTTATATGCATATACATATTAAAATGTAGAAGACATCTGTTTGAGTTTTAAATTTCATTCATGAACCTCTTCTGGTTCACCAACATATCATATTTTAAAACTCAATGGAACTAATGATCTTTCAAAGATTTGAATTTTCTTCCAAATATGTAAAAATCAATTACACAGACCTTTTGGTGATGCACTGGGCAAACACCGTGAAAGCACTTATAATAGCAAAACGTTTTCTTTGATGTTGGGAAATATTGAAGGTTTCTTTTTTACATGCCTTTAGACTTTATAACTGTATTATTTCCATTATATACGAAGTATTCAGTGCTCAATACATTTTAAATTATCAAGTCGAATACTAGCAGTTTTATTTAGAAAGGTAGCTATTTATCTTACAGGTTTTCTTACAAAAGGTGCTTAAGTTTTTGAGAGGACATCATGTATTCTTTGATGTTTTTACAGTTTTTCACATAAGTTTTGTCAATATAGCAACTAAAGCGAGTAGTTGTAAAATTTTCCCATAACATAGTTTGTATGTCTAAACATGAAACGTCATTGGTCAATTTTAAAATAACCAATAATCCATTCAATAATTTTGATTTGATATGTAATTTTTATTTACCCATTTTACAACACATTTTCAAGAACGCTAATGAGTGGTGAATTATAACTGGATGAAAAATAATCAAAAATCATTTTTAAGGACATTGGTCTAAGGAAAAGTGAACTTTGTGCTTACAGTTATTTCTGCAGAAAGTATTCTATTGACATTAATTTCTGTGCTTCTATGAATAACCCTGATCATTTATAGGTGCATGACATATTATTATTCAGGAAATTATACTTTAATTTACAATCGTTAGTTTAGGCAAAAATAAAGTAGACAGATTAAGAATATTCAATGCTTGAATCTCCGTATCCTTCAACTCAAGGTCGTAAAGCTATTCGTACGTTAACTGCCCCATTATTTTTTAATAATCCTGAAAATATATGTGCTACAAATAAAGATCTGTTGCGATATTGTTTGGATTCACCAACTACAACATCTCAGCCAAATCTGAATGGTCGAGTATCGAGGTCAGATATAAGCTCTAGTAGTGATCATATTGGTCGTAAATTATCTGTAAATGGAGTACATGAACTTAGAGATCGATCCCTTCCTGGTACAATTTCAAAACAAGAAGTTCATTCGGTTTATAGTTTACATCAACATCGTAAAAACACATATATTCAAATTCGAGATCCTATAAATAATGAAAATCGATCACCATCAAGGCAAACACGAAGAAGAGAAGTTATACATTGTTGGAGTCGAGAAAGAATTACAAGAAGTGAAACTATCTTAAGTATACGTCCACCTTCATCAAAACAAACTGAAAGGAATATAGAAAGTAATAATTTATGCAAATCCCGGCTTACTGCTTCAACATCGGCCTTTAATAATTCTTCTTTCTTGCCCATAATAAATAAAAGTGAAAGTTTTTCATCACTACCGACTGCAATACGTCATATTCCTATTCAATTAGCTGATAATCATCTAGCCCATACACAATCAATAACCAATGATGCATTAAAATCAATTCCAATTTCTAATCAATTTCCTGAAATTAAAAGACAGATTTCAAATAAAATACAAAAACTTTCTTTCTCCTATATTGAATATTCAGAGTACATAGACAAGTGAGTTTTATATTGAAAGTTATTTTAACTACGCAGTTCTGATTTTTGTTTCTAATTCTATCTTTAAGAGTGTATTAGTTGTTTTCATGGTTTATTGAGTTAATTGATTTCATGGGGTAATCATCTTAGAAAATAATCTTTAAAAAAATCCAAAAATCTGGTTTTGTTAAAACTGTAAATAATGAAATGGTGATTTTAAATTTAACTATATCAAACATATATCTAATTTTGTACGAGTTTGAAGCAGCATACACACACATACAGGCTTGAACTAACAATTTTCAGTTCTTTTTAGTTGATCTATTTGATCCATATTTCAAGTAACATTAGACGAAAGCTCCTGCTCGAAAATGATCTACATTTTATGAAAATGATAACAGATGGTCTAAGGTTTTTTTTTGGAATTTTTAGACCCAGAATCCATGGTCAATAATATATTTTTAAAGACATATCTGCAAACCTAAGGAAAGTGATATTCAAATATAATCATTGTCTTCAGGTGCTTTTCCAGACATGCAACATTGCAACCTTTTGAATAAAAACTAATCTTTATTATAATTGTATTATGAACACTTCAGTGTCAGATTACATAGTTCTTGGTGGCATGCAGTTTTATTTAGATGAAGTCCATTACTTAAATTAGTGACCATATTAAAAAACTTGGTCGGGTAGAACCAGATTAAAAGTCGAGCTTAATTCATAATATTTATTACCATTTTGTTGTTGTTTGTCACACTTTTTCACATAGAAACGTAAATGCATAGGTTTCATAAATCCGAATTTACTTATCGATCCTCACCATTTATTAGTTTAAAGAAAATATTTTGCTTGTGACTCTCTATAAGATTGTAATTATCAACTATGATTCAAAAGTTCAATATAGTTAGTTAACAATTGAATAAAGTCAAAAGGTTGAAAGATAACCTTTTGGTTCTAATAACAAGTATACATAAATTTAAATCTAAATATAACACAGTAGTAATTCAGGGTAAAAGAGAAAACATATCCATCTATTAAATAGGAATAATATATTTGTCACAATTGATTGATCACTGGGTGGTGATCAATGTCATGCGTGTCAAGTCCTTCTTAGTGCTAATCGAATGCTATCGAGCAAGTTGCAATGTGGCCACTAGTCTAGGTGGCTCGACACTGCGTACACTATGTTGAGATAAGATAAGAAGGACTTGACACGCATGACATTGATCACCACCCAATGATCAATCAATTGTGATTACATCTCAGTCCTACAGGAGGTCGGTCGCGGCCTGAATAGCTCAGTGGTAACATCTCTGACTGTGAAGCTGAGTGGCATGGGATCGAATCCGTCAAGGAGCACCAGTTCCCTCAAGATTACAGGTGCATCTTGCTAATGAATGCCTAGTAGGACGAAACCCGGGTCTAGGATTTCCTGTTGACCACCTCCAACCACCATCTTATAATATATTTGTAAAATCTCAGCGAATGAATTTGAAGTAAGTTCAACGTTTCGCCTGGCAATCTGGTTCCAGCTTTTTCAAAGATTTACTTCAAATTCATTCTCTGAGATTTTGCAAATATATTATTTCTATGTAATGTCTTACATCAACTCGGCGCCGAAATGCTGTGAAACTATTTGCTCTAATTTAGATGAAAGTTCTTATATATCCATCAGTTCTTGGCATAATTGTACACACTGTCGGATAAAGTTAACATTTCAATGTATATTGTTAATGAACGACTCCATATTTAATGCTAATAAATCCCATATATAATCTGAATTGATTTTGTATAGTAAATTATTTAAGTTTGGACATTCGATTGATTATTAAGAATTTATCCTTTTCAGTTTGATGAATATTACGTAATCAGAATATTTTGGTGTAACATGAAAATGAATCTGTTCTTGATTTAAAGTTCAATGAATATGTTAGTTTTCGGTAATGATAAATTATTACCATCGTTACAAGTATCGTCATTATCCTGACATTTTTTAGTCTCTATTTCTTTTCTTTTTTTAAAAAAGTAGCCAGTACTACAAACAAGACAAAATGTTATTTTAGAAACTAGCTGGTGAATAATGTAAATTCGTCTATTTTATTCTACAAGCCGAATTACATGCTTCCTTTTTTTCATTGTGCTACCTTTTATTTCATATATTGTATGAGAGAAATAGAACAGAGAGTTAACGATTTCCATTCTATTTCCTTTTAATCATATGGATAAGTTATCCATCATATTTTGCATCTGATCATTAGGTAGATCATTAAATATAATTATTATGATTTACTTAATGAAGGGTACCAGTTTCTGACACTAGGACTTTCTGAATAATAATAATCATCATTATTATTATACTATGCTTAGTTAACTGAGCTGAAAAAAAACGAATAAATCTGTACACAAGTTTTGTAAAACAATAGTTTCCCACTGACCACGAATCTTGAAATGGTAATCATAAATTAATTATCAAAAACATCATTTGAAATGTATAATATATTTTTTTTGTTAATAAACTCAAGTTTAAAAAAAGGAACTAAAAGATACAAGTAAACAACACCAAGTGAATTATTGGTTAATCTTCTGCATTTGAATACGGACTTAAATTCTCTGTGTATTTTTTAGAATTCCCTCTAACCAGGATCTTAACATTTACACAGTCAAATGCGTGTCCACAATTTTCCAAATACATTTATATAAGCGGAGATATGTCATGATGTTTGATCCCTAATTGATGTTCGTTCAGGCAAAGATGAAGAGCGTGTCGGCTTCGTCCAATGTAGTGCTTTTCGCAGTTGGAACACTCCATTTCGCAGATGATGCCTGGTTTTTCTTCTTTCGTTATTTTTTTCTTTGTCAGCTCTTGGGTTGTTGCTACTATAATTAAGAAATCGATTTGTGTAATTTGGCTTCAGATCTACTTGAGTATCCAGTTTTCCTGTTTCGGTTCTGGTGATTAATACATCCAAGGATGATAGTTTGTTGTTTTACTCTTGTTCCATTGTGAACTGGGTGTCATCGAAGACGTTGTTGATAAGAATGTAGGTGTTTTCCAAATCGTCCTTTTTGACAATGACGAATATGTCATTCACGTAACAAATCAAAATTTTTGACTTGGTCACCGGTAAGATCGAGAATTTTCAAAGCTGGGAACTCAGATCAATCAGCAGTCAACAAACGCATTGAAATTGATCTAACTTATAAACCAATCAGAAACATTATGGACAAATATAAGACCAAGAATCAAGTCAATAGGACATACAATCAATATGAAGAAGAAGACAGTGACAGGTTAAAGGTCAACAATGATCAATCAAGATCGAGATTGACAGGAAAAGCTGTGAGACATATGTGGAGAAATTCAAACACTTCATTTCTACCTGAAGTTTGTGCTGATGATGTTCAGATTTAAGATCAAAGCTCCACGACCAAACCATTTAGCTCAGAGAACAAAACCACTAAAATAATCGATCCCTTTTTTGAATATAGTCATACGATATCTAGAACTTTATTCTCTTGATCTATGATACAAAACTAATACTTTTATAGCTATAATACGGTTTAAACTCATCAATGCTTGTCCATTCTGGTAACATTTAGAAAATGAAGTTTTCCTATTCAATATGTATGGAAATTAAACAGTAGTTGTTGACTATTACAATAAAATAATTGAACAAATACTTTCAAACAATATCGATCAATCTCTTTCTCTTGTTAATTATTTATACGTTTAGAACTTTTAACTGTTTGATCCTAAAAATTAGATGGGTTGATCGAAATCATAAAATAACAGCTATCAAACAATTCAACACATTAACCAGGTATATTTCTATGTGAATCAAAAGGAATCGGTATCTAATTATTAATATTTGTTACTTTTTATCAATTCTATGCTTACTTTTTAGCAAAAACAAAAACAAATATTTAAGTATTGAATAGCAACAGAGGTACGAAATCATATACATTCATATTGCATTGTTTGAAATCCTCTCTAAAAAAGAGAGTTCTTTCCTCTTTTTTTATTAAATAACAGGGAATTGGTGACTTTAAAAAATAATAATCACAAGAAATTAATAAGAGAAACAAATTATTCCCGGTATATTGTATACCATTTTTATTAAAAGTCACGTGTATGACAAAGTTAACAAAACAACAATTAAAAAGATTAAAACCAATGCCGTATTTCTATGTATATATAAATGTATAAATATAAATGTTTCTAGGTAGAGAAAAAAAATTTTTTCTGTTCTACTTTGTTAATTAAAGTTATATACGTAAAACATTGCAGTTTTTCTACTCAGCTTCAAATTGTATAACTCAAAATTTACTTTAGTAAATTTAATCGTATTCAGTTATGTATAGAAGATAGTGACTACTATAATGACCATTTTAAAAAGTTTCTATTATAGAGGTTTTATGATCTACAGATAACTTCTATAAGATTTCTATTATTTGAGGGTCTATTTCATCAGATGAAGATTTATATTGAATCACTGGACAGATGTCTTTTTCTTCGTTTAAGACTTTATAAGACGATGTAACGTCAAATTCATGTAAGTAGAGATCTATGATCTTCCGATTTTAAGAGTAACAGGATTTCTTTCATTATCATTCTGAGTTATATAATTGTTTATGGAACACATACCTTACTTACAAATTCTCTTGATATATTCTCTACAAACATTATCACTACTTGTACAAATCATGAGTAGCAAAATACATAATTAAAATGCATTCTAGGAGTATTATTCAAAATAATTAATTTCTGTTTCGATAGATATATATGATAACTAAACAACTCATGCAAAAATAAAAACAGCGAAAAAACTACATATTTTGCTACTGTACTCCCAAATCATTTGAAGGAAGTAGTTTTATTATTTCGCTTCCATTTTTAATGCAAAAATCATAATTTCGCCGTTCCAAAATGATTACTTATCATCTGAAGCTTCGGTTTCGGCAGACTTCTCACATTTATATATATATATATATATTTATATATATATATATATACCCCTCGT